TAGAGTGAGTTTACCAAAGTCTTAGATTATTAGCTAGTTGTGTATAGTGCTCTACTCTATTGGTCTTTACTATTACTCCTGAACATGATATAACTTAGGTCATTATTAATATAAATTTCTTTCTTTCTTTTTTTTTTTGAGACAGAGTCTCACTTTGTCACCCTGGCTAGAGTGCAGTAGCATCATTGTAGCTCAGTGCAACCTCAAAGCCCTCCTGTCTCAGCCTCCCAAAGTAGCTGGGACTACAGGTGTGTGCCACCATGTCTGGCTAATTTTTCTATTTTTAGTAGAGGCAGGGTCTCACTCTTGCTCAGGCTGGTCTCAAACTCCTAACCTCAAGTGATCCTCCTGCCTTGGCCTCCCAGAGTGTTAGGGTTACAGGCATGAGCCACTGTGCCCAGCCTATATGAATTTCTTAACATTTTTAGGGCATATTTGTAAGATTTAGTTGTAAGTATTTCATCTGAATACATATTAAACTACAGGCAACTGAATAATATGTTCAGAATGTTTAAATTCTAAATTCAATTCATGATCATGTTTTTGAAAAATGAATATGTGAAATGGAAATTATTTTCATTGTTTTGTTAAATAATTCTACACGTTTAGGAAGATGAACCACAGGAAGATGCTAAAGAATTGCAACAAGGTAAACCATATCATTGGAGAGACTGGTCAATCATTAGGGGAAGGGACTGCTTATATATTTGGAGTGATGCAGCAGCCTTGGAATTATCTAACGGCAGTAATGGATGGTTCAGATTTATCTTGGATGGAAAACTTGCCACCATGTATTCAAGTGGTAGTCCTGAAGGTGGATCGGATAGTTCAGGTAATATTTTGTTTCAATTAAAATATTTTCCTAGTTTCTATAATTTGTTTTCCTGCTCATATTTTTGCTACCATTGTCATGGAAATAGCACATCCTTAATGATCATGTGGTCAAATTTTTTAATATCAGTAGAGAAAAATTATACCATGAAAACATTTCATAGATGCCTTTTTTGAGAGAAGGAACAGCACTAAAGGTACTTTTAATCCCTCCAATCTTTTAGATAAAGCTGTCTTTTGTTATGAAATGGTAAATTACATGGGTATATTGCTGTCTCAGGTTTTATCTTTATCAAACCAGTAAGAGGATAGCAAAGAACAAAACTTTACTAATTTAGTTTTATTTTATAAAATGAATATTCTATTAAGTAGTTAAGTAGTTTTTTTTTTTTTAAATGGAATATTTGAAAGGAATAAGAGTTTTAAAACAAGCATTCTGTCTTTGTAGAAAGCAGAAGTGAATTCTTAGAGAAGTTACAAAGAGCCCGAGGCCAAGTAAAGCCATCTACTTCAAGTCAACCTATACTCTCTGCACCAGGACCTACTAAACTTACTGTAGGGAATTGGTCACTAACATGTTTGAAAGAAGGAGAAATTGCTATTCATAACTCAGATGGTCAGCAAGCTACAATATTGAAAGAAGATTTACCTGGTTTTGTATTTGAATCTAATAGAGGAACCAAACATTCGTTTACTGCAGAAACTTCTCTGGGTAAGTATGTAGATACATTTTAGTAGGTAGGAATAAATGAATATGTTAAATTGCAATAAAGCATGTTCTGTGAAATGTTCCTTTTTTTCCTCCCCCAAGGTTCAGAATTTGTGACTGGCTGGACTGGCAAAAGAGGCAGAAAACTGAAATCAAAGTTAGAAAAAACAAAGCAAAAGGTATTTGTGGGAGGTGCTTTTTCACTGTCTTTTGTATCGACTTGGTAAAGTTTCAGCGATAGATTGATTATAAGCATTGAAAAAATTGAGCCATGTAACGTAAGCTACCTTAATATAACATTTTTAGCTTTTCTTTTTTCTATGTTCATTATTTTTCACAGTGTTTATTTATGTATTATTTTTATACATACACTGAATAACAATATTAAAGCAGAAGCAAAATGGAAATTAATATGAGATAAAGAATAAAACTTAAATTATTTTAAATTATTTTATTAATGTCACAAAAACTTTAAACTCATTGAAATTATTGGTAATATTTTTAGCGATATAATGGGATTGAAAATGATCATTATATTTTACAATCCAGGTCTCGTACATTATGAGACAGCAACTTAACTGCCTGATTCTGAATTCAGATTATTTCGATGCTTAGTTTAATGACTATCTTAGATGAAATCACTGCTTCAAAAAGATATAGGAGCAAATGCATTATTGGCTCCACCTTCAAAATCATAATACTAATTTTCTAATTCTATTCATCAGATATGCTTTGTTCTTTTAG